ACATTATGCCCACAAGTCTCCCTATCCATTTCGTGAAAGATCATCATATATAACCAATTCCACTAGTATTTCACAACATAAAAATATGCTACTTGGGCTTTTAGGACTTTCAGCCTTCGGGGCGACTACCGTGAAAGTACCGATGCATATGATGTTCGCAGTGCACATATCGATATGTCTAAGCGCGAGTTTCTATACTCGTACATGTATCCATAGAGAAAGTCCATTGAATAAGAATCAAGGCCCAGATAGATGATCATGGAGATCCTCTCCACATTACTCTCATTAATTTGACTAACATAAATAATTGAGATGCTCCAAAACAGAAGCTAGTCCAGCATATCAAGTTCGTGATACAGTAGTTCTTCTAAATTCTGACCTTCAAGCTTCAGAAGTTGGCAGAAGTCGTGGATTGAATGTTGGGCTCGGTCCTTTCATGCTTAGCCGCTGTCAAAAAATGAAAGCTGACAATAGTGATGTGATTGATATATTACAGTAAGAGTTATATTAGAAACCATGCGGGATGGATCGATAGAAGAAGGACATTCGCACGTGTTGGATTCGCACTCGATCTCTTTTGATAAATGCCCTTCAAATTCGAAACAAGGCACTCAGTACTGTGCGTACTGTGCGTATGAGGCGAACAGTTCATCATGCTGTGTAACGGCTCGGGCAATTATCAGCAATGTATCGGCATCAACATCTCGAACGTTGCGTTGAAGATATATTTGATAGGAATCCGAGCCAGTCGGAAGGAAGTTGTTGGACGGACTGTAACTGTAACCCTACCATTCCGAAAAATCCACCAACCATTATTCAATCTTTTGAATAATTTCAATATTGGTTGATAACTTTCGACCCGAACCGTGCCGTGAATGAATAGAGATGAACAGTTGCATCCCCTCAATAGAGACCAGCTCGAAATAAATACTTGGGAGCCGTGCGCAGGTCCAAAATTGGCTGCAGTGAGGCTGCATGGAACTTGAACGGCGATAGCTAGGATAGGGATAGGGATTAGGGATTAGGGATAGGGGAAAACCCTAGAAATGTCTCACATAATCCTTGTTGAAGCAACATGCTTGAACCGGCATTAAATGAGAACGACAAGAGGTTTGAATCTAGCCAGTGGGGCGATTGATTGATTGATTGAGTTTCCAAATCTTTGGGATTTCACAAAGTTGGGAAGTTGGTTGAATGTTGTTGGATTTTCGTAGAGTGTGTTGAGAGATTGAGGATGGCGGCGACAATTACAATTATGACCTCCTAGAAAACTGACTGGCGAGCTCTTATCATCGATTGAAACCCAAAAAGATGAAGTGAAATGAAATGAAATGAAATGTTGTGATTTCCTAAAAGCCAAGGAAAGGCATGGCGGCAACCATAACACCCACCATTTACAGATTCAGATGATATGCAACCGCATCGAGGTTGTAAAAAGACGGATTCTGATTGAATTTCCCGATCGATCGATTTATTGAAAATAAATGAATGCTGCAGTAACAGTAACAACCAACAGCTTGTAACATGATTTGATGGAATGAAGAAAAGAGGGCTTGTTTGGGCAGATATACAGATGTAACTCGAGTACTTCTAACCTCTAGATTATCGTGAGGCTGTCATTGGCATTGATTGATGCTACGAAAAGTTTGAGCTGTGAGTTCACTTCAGCCAAGCATGGGTGCTATGGTGCTGGTGCTTCATTCATCTGATACAACATCGTTGTATATGTATGTATGTATGTATGTATGTACCTATGTAGTATACATGTAGTATACATGATGTAGGGACTGTGTGTGATATATTTCAATCCATGGTTGAGAACTTGTTGTACCTAAGTATGAAAGTATGAAAGTTGTTTTTCTGGTAGAGAATACTTGATGGGTACATTACAACACCTGAAGAGCTCCACAACACAATCTTGAACTTTCTCGTTTCGTTTCCAGCGATCAGGAAAAGTCTAAAAGTCTTTCCGAATCCCCATTTCTCGAAGCTGTCTCAGTCTATATAATAATAGCTATTTTCATACATTTGCTATATTTATTATCTCGCCTTATGAACTCCATCGAGTATTACCCCAAAAGAGGAATTAGAGAAATGGGGGAAAGTAAATTAAATTATATAGTATTCTTACCAATCAAGAGCCCCTATCGATGGAATTCCCGAATTCCCTTCGATCATCCCTTAATTATTGCCCAAAGAGGAAGAATGAGTAGAAGAAGCATATGCGATTTCAATATCACACCATTTGGCCTATAGAATACCTTACCTTGAGTTTACCTCCTTGACTACTACTAGGTAGTATTCCTTGAACAGGACTAAGCATGAAAAAAATAACTTCTTCTTCTTGCAACTGGAGAACGAATGACTTTATCCCTTCCCTTCCGTCCCTTCCCTTCCCTTCCCTTCCCATGAAGGATATACATCAAATCAAAATCATGCCTTTAAGCAACACACGCATTTTGCCAATTCACTAGTTATGCCTAGGTATTTGGTTTCATCAACCTATCTATGGCAATGCTGACCTCTCGGAAATCCCCTATAGAACCAACCAATACTGTATGAGTACAATGTGAACTAAGAGAATTTTAATTTCCTTCTATGAAAGCAATAACTCGAGTAGAATCTATCTGATTTCTCTGTACATCATCATTCATATCGAGGGACATCTTTTCAATTCTTTCTATCCTCATTCTTTGCGCTCCTTAGATAGTTCATTCGTCCCTTCATTGCCTCCCTCCTCCCCTTACAGACTTAATTCGCATCATTGCCCATCAATTGGTCCAACCCAAACCCGAAGAAATCCTACATTACACACACAATCCAGCGGGCACAGCTCATTGATTGGCGTGTGCAGCCGTTTCGTCCTTCGCAGCACTCCACTAAATCTCACGAGTAACCCTTGCATATCAAATTAACGTGCATCATCCCTAAGACAAAGAAGCAAAAGAGCAGCAATAAGGTCTAGAGAAGAAGCTACTGTACCTAGCTAAGGGAAGGCCGAGTCGAACCGGTTGTCGTCGTCAAAGTAACAAAGCTTATTAGAATCTTAAGAATCCTTGTTGATGTGAACCCCGTCTTTGAAAAATACCACTTACCAGTACTCGAGTACATAAATAGTTGCACACGAATATTACACGCATCCATTCTTCGGTTTGTTACCAAGAAATCCACGGAACGTCAATTGCAAATCCTAGTCAACCCGTTTTACAATAATAATACTCCGGAGGAAGAAAAGACATCCTAGCAAAATTCGGAAGAGAGAAGAGAAAGAATAAGGAGAAGAAGAAGAAAAGTAAACAAAAGTCTTCAAAGTGCAAAAGTCGACAATCAATCTCATTATCACACCAATACCTCCAATACCGGTACTTCCTTCCCACATTCACTTTCGTCATCTCGTCATTGCAGATAAAAAAGGAATCAAACCATATCTAAAATCCACCACGACATCCACAAAATTCCACAATTGCAACTATCTAGGTTCTCTTTGGCACAGTGCGCACACTTTGTAAATCTGGGGATCCATTCATTACAAGGAAAAGGAAGAAGCATCAACCCAGGAACTCCGCCAGAAGAAAAGATACCGCCCTTGAATAAGATAAAAGAGAGAGACAGAGAGACAGACAGAGAGAGTAGAGAGAGAAGAGAGAAGAGAGAGCGAGTACTCCTTTTTGACTGCGACATTCACTACTGCAATAACCACACGATCACACTACCTATTCACAAACCTCAAGGACTCGAATCAATTCTTGAAATCGACTCGACACGGCAAACTCACACCATAAATTCAATTCACTTCACTTCATTCATTTCCAATAAAATCAATTCCTCTTTATAGAAGAAGGTTACAATTCAAACAACCCAAACCCTTGCCTTGCAGATATCCATCATCCACCATCCGCCAACTATCAACCTTGAAGGTACCTTGTTTTAAGTACAAATACCTTCTTCAATACTACCTACTACTGTACCTCATCAATCTGCATATCTACATATCTGCACACTTGTACTTCTTGCTGTGCGCCAGAGTACAGAGAGGGGTGGGGTTAATTGTCTTTCCGGTCTCGATTCGTCTCGATTCCTCGATTTACTTTTTATTAACAATTCAAGTTTCAACGCATTGATTTCTTTTGCGTTTGGAGCCATCACGAAAATCTTAGCCACACATAAAGTGCATCCGAGACCCCAGCACTCAGCAGCGCATTGGCAAATCGACTGGTTCAATTAAAATCTCTTGATATACACACCAAATGCTTTGCTGTCAACTGGTGTCAAAGTTCAATACATCATACATCCCGACTTCAATAAGAAAAAACAAACCCTTCCTCGTGGCATAAGGTTTTATTGCGATTCAGGGTCCCTCTTAATACAATAACATAACGACTTAATTCATTAGGGTGGAGATCAAACTTCACACTTCCTCTTACGAAACCAAAAAAAAAGAAAACACAAGGAAACACGACAGCATTTACTTTTTCGAGTTAATTGGGAGCTATTTGCGAAAATCAACTTTTTTGGCTGGTCAATTGGAAACTCTCTCCCGAGACCAAGGTTCAGCCGATTTTATTTTGGTATGTATGCACCCTTCCATCCCCAGTCAAGCTTCATGACATGACATGACATGACATTCCACATTCCACACTCCCCACACCTCGTTCCTCAATACAACCGCAACAACACTTAATCCTTATCCAAAAGGGGTTCTTGCTAATCTCCACTATCATTATCAGATTGTGTTTACAGTGCGACGAATACAGAGGTCGACTCAAAAAGGAAGCATTGAGAAAACAACATCAAAACAAACATCACAATTGATTCAAAACACTATCCAATCGTCACTTTATTGCATTATATCGAACCTAAGACTAGGACTAGGACTAGGAAATCTGGATATCGTCTTAGGACAACTCGATTTAGTTACGATTTTAAACCCTTACACGCGAACCATCCATCTAGGATATTGATAGGAAGACATCCATGATATCTTTGAAAGGTGGCTCATTATGGTGAACTCGAAGGAGTCTGAGCATTCGAAGCGGACGAGTGCACAGGTAGCACCTCTTACAATACATAAGGGTCGACCGCGTGAAAACAGCAGCGCATCATCCACAAAACATAAAAGGAATACTTCATCCAGAAGTAGTAACCAAACAACTTCCACTGGAAGTCAATCTCAAATCACCCCTCCCGCTACTCCAAATGGTTCCCAGGAGGATTTAAATCAAATGGAACCTCCTTCGCCTGTATTTCACAGCTTCCTGAGAGCCTTTTACCCATTCCATCCGACATATGCTATTTCGGATTCCACAGTCACGCTGCCATTAAACGAAGGAGATGTGGTTTTAGTACATTCGATACACACTAATGGTTGGGCAGATGGCACACTACTTATTTCCGGCGCGCGTGGTTGGTTGCCCACTAACTATTGCGAAGCCTACAACCCAGATGCCATGAGGAATCTATTGAAGGCCTTACTAAACTTTTGGGATCTCTTACGGAGTGGTTTAACGACAGACAGCGAGATATTCGGGAATCAGCAGTTCATGAAAGGAATTATTGCTGGTGTTAGATATTTGTTGGTGGGTATTGTCGGTAATTATTGAATCATAAATACTTGCTAATATAAAATAGGAAAAATCGGATTGCCTCACCCGTGAATCACCGATTGTAAAGAGTAACGATAACCTTCGCAAGATTAGAAAGGCACTTTTGTCGGACCTGTCGGCATTGGTCAAGACGGCCAAACAATTACGAGACTTTTCTATTTCTCCTCCAGCGGGAACCGACGAGGAAAGTGTGAACGATGTTATCGACGAGATGATCTTAAAGGCTTTCAGAATTATTGTGAGGGGTATAAAATTCTTGGACAACTCGGATGAGGATACGAGATTACGACAACCCCTCCATAAAGTCATGGCAACCGTTGCTGAGGAATCATATGTTCCACCCACTCCACCAGCGGACTCGACGTCATTTAGCGGGACGCCGCATACAGACCCTGCATACGACACGGCATCTCACAGAAGCTCTACCCGAAGCTCGGCAAGCGGCGCCTCTAGTTCCCTGCGATCGGAAGACCAAAACAAACCACAGTCATACAAACGGATATCGACTGTGCACCCAGCCGTAACATCGCGTCCATTATCCATTCTTTCGACACAACAAGCCAAAAGGGTTTCCGTATCTCACCGTGTTTCACTTATAGCTTCCGTACCCGCTGAACAACGTCAAAATCTTGTTTCCGAGAGATTAAACTCCAGCCATGATACATTTCTCTCATATCTGGGATCATTCATCGGACGGCTTCATCTACAAAGCCAGTCTTCGCAGGATTTACTCTCGACAGTTAGACAGTCAGTAACCGCTGGTCAAGGATTACTTATTGTGGTTGAAGCAGTATGCGCCCACGACAGCCAGAGTGCCGACTCCTTGAACAACGCTCGGAACGCAATGTATGACAGGATCAGTAAATTAGCGTTGGCAGCTCGGGATATAGTTAGCTCGTCAGGTGTTGACGAAGACGATGTTGTGATGGCCCAACAAAATGGGGGGCTACTAATGGCGGCCACAGGATGTGTCAAAGCTGCCGGAGAGGTGGTCGCAAAGACTAAATTTGTGATTGAGCGAATTGGTGACTTCGAATTTGAACATGGTGAAGGCCTTGGAATTAATGTTGCCTCGATAAGTGTCGTACCAGAACAAGTCAAAACGAGTCAGGAACATGAAGGTGTTGATGCCATACCAGAACAACCTTCATCGCGTCCTCCCCCACCACCACTAGTCATTCCAAATGTGTACGAAAAGCCATTACCGGAAGTACCCTTCAGTTCTCCGCCAGCGACAGAGATCAATCGAATGTCGAACCGACTATCGAGTATCTCCATTCTACCTCCACTACCTAAACTGGGTGCTCCTCTGATGAGCCAGGAGGATTATAGTCCTTCTGATCGTGCATCAACCAGCGATGGAGAATTTCAATCATATAGATCAGGCAGCAGTTATATGCGCGATTCGGAGATGAGCATGATTTCGCAAACGTCTACTCGGGCGACTACGCCGGACCTGACATCCCACAAACCAAGAAATCAGCCATCTTTGTCAAGTATCAGCATGAGCGAAAGCCAATCGACTTTCGCTGATGATCCATATGACCTGGAATCGAAAATTCTCGAGAAGACTTTCGCTCACGAGTTACTCCACAACAAAGAGGGTCAAATTACGGGTGGTTCGCTTGCAGCGCTGGTTGAACGACTTACTACACATGATTCAACTCCCGATTCAATGTTTGTTTCGACTTTCTATCTTACTTTCCGACTATTCGCGTCTCCCGTTGAGCTTGCTAAAGCTCTGGTTGACCGTTTCGAATATGTTGGCGAGAGTCCCCATATCGCAGGGCCTGTAAGATTGAGAGTCTACAATGTATTCAAAGGCTGGCTGGAATCTCATTGGAGAAATGTTTCCGATTATGCCGCTCTGTCGATTATTGAACCGTTTGCGAACGATAGACTCAAGGCTTCCCTCCCTGCGGCTGGCAAGCGACTTTTTGAGCTAGCTCAAAAGGTATCTTCCACAGATGGACCTTTAGTGCCAAGGCTTGTCTCTTCAATTGGAAAGACTAGCACATCCTTCGGCCAATATGTACCAGCAGATGTACCGGTCCCTCCCGTCGTTGTGAGCAAAAGCCAAGCAGCAGTCCTGAAGAATTGGAAAATGGGTGGAAGCAATCCGTCTATTCTCGAATTCGACCCACTTGAATTGGCCCGTCAGTTGACTGTTAAGGAGATGAATATCTTCTGTACCATCATGCCGGACGAGCTTCTTGGAGCCGCATGGACTAAGGCCAGAAAAGGTGGTTCAAGCGCGGTAAACGTTAGAGCCATGTCCACATTATCGACAGATCTCTCCAATCTCGTTGCGGACACAATCTTACAATATGACGATGTTAAGAAAAGAGCAACCATCATCAAGCACTGGATCAAGATTGCGCACGAATGTCTCAAGCTCAATAACTATGACTCGTTGATGGCTATTATCTGCTCGCTCAATTCATCCACCATTGTTAGATTGAAGAGGACTTGGGACTTGGTTTCCCAAAAGAGAAAGGAAATCCTCAAGGGCCTACAAGTTATTGTTGAGCCGGAGAAGAATTACGCAGTGCTCCGACGTAGACTTCATGACCATGTCCCTCCATGTCTTCCATTCGTTGGTACCTACCTCACAGATTTGACATTCGTTGATGCTGGTAACCCATCCACGAAGCAATTGGCTGACGGCATGTCTGTGATCAACTTTGACAAGCATACTCGAACAGCCAAAATCATTGGCGAGCTACAACGGTTCCAAATTCCTTATCGTCTGGCAGAAGTTCCCGAACTTCAAGAATGGCTTCAAGCCCAAATCGTCCGAGTCAAATCCGCCTCTGATAACGAGAACGTTCAGCAATACTACCGGAAGTCTCTGCTTTTGGAGCCACGAGATATCTTGCATACCAAGCCTAGCCCTGTAGACTCGGCAGTTTCTTTCAGCTCTTCACATGGAAAGGATAAATTCGATCTCTTTGGATGGACTCATTTATCGAAGGACAAGACACAGACACCCATCTAAACACCTTTGTCATTATTTTTGCCCTTCCTTGATCGCACTTACTCCGGATTCGGAACACATTATACACACATCATCATGATATTCAGTTGATTTGATACCCCACTTTGAATAGCGTTTTAGCGAATGATCTTTTTACCCTCGGAGTTTTACACGGCGTTCTCGACAGCAAAGCTCATGGAAGCGATGGTTGCCATTCTAATTGTTTTACATCACACTTTTACATACTTGAATACCGCCACAGTTGGGTATCAAGCTCGGTCCATGGAAGAATAAAAGCTTTTTTTTTATACTCATAATTGTATACTGGTCGATCAGGAATTGTACATCATCTCTTTTCAACTTTTTTCTCTCTTTTTCTTTCTATCTTGTATTGTTTTTATACCTGCATCCGAGATGTGCTTGCAGTGAAGGTTATTAGGGTCTGTCTGGTATGGCTGGGAAAGATGGTGGATGGAGTTGAGGAAAACGGGAAACGGGAAACATGCATTTTGGTATGGGAACAATGGATACATTGCGAGTATTGATAGGGAGTTGACCCTGGTTATTTGCACGACACAAAAAGCAATTGGTAAAAGGGATGAGCTCGCGCTCTAGTTCTAGTTAAAATCATACGTTGGTATTGGTATTTTGACCGGTGGGATGTATGGAATGGAAGAGGTTGTATATTGCTTGTGTGGATTGGTTGCACGGGATATGGGATGGGGAAATGGGATGAGGGGGGGGGTAAATGAATGGGTTCTTCTAGATGACGTTCATGGATATGATTAGATGAGGTTGATGGAATGGAATGGATTGAGGATGATTGGATGAATGGGTGGGCGGATGGACAATAGCTAGATACAGATACCAATGCCAGGCAGGAAAGGAAGGAGAAAGGTTAATGAAAATTATGACCACAACATTTCTTGAGCTTTTTCTACTATGTGATGTGCTTTTTATAATTATAGTGTTAGGTAGGTCGGGAATGAATTGATGGATCTGATAAAATAACATTGATATGGATGGATATGGATACTCGAATACGATAAAGTCGGAATATATTGATGTTCGGATGCCGATCTTAGGGGATGGGAGGAACGGGGAGGGTCGAAGCGTTAGTTAGTGTATCAATGAACTAGTCTGAGCAGCTAGAGAGGGAGGGGCTGGGAAGTGGGATTGAGGGATTGAGGATTGAGTTGAGGGTTTGAGTTGGAGGAGAAGATAGGAGAGGAGAGGAGGGAGTGAGTTGTTGTAATAATTGTAATAATTGTGTTTCTGGAGTTTGTATTTGAGTACATATTATAGCAATGAAATGAGATGAGATGAGATGTATAGACTAGGTAAAAGTAATGTGGCTTGTATTACAGTACAGTATTGAGATGAGATGGATGTACAGGAGGGTTTCACATATGTGGTATAGTACTATAGACAACAAGAGGTTGGTTGAGTGGTTGAGGGTGCGAATACTGAGGAGGATGAGGGTGAATGAATGAAAGAATGATTGAAAGAAAGGGAACAATAGTTAGATATGGTTAGATGGTGTTTGTGTTGTTCTATTCTACGAGTATTGCTGTATGTACCAGTATTGCTTTGTAGATACTAATAGATGCTAGTAGATATCAACAGTCAACACAATGTATTTGGTAATTCTGAGATCTTCATTTGATAGAAGATCTTCAGTACTGTACGCGGAGTGGCAACCACATACGATTGCACCATTTCAATTGAGAGTCTAGTCTGAGACTATTGATAACTCCACTGTTATACAACCTTCTTCCCCCACATTCAAGTATAAAATCTCAAAATCTCTGCGAATCACGTGTTAGTATCCTTATCATTGTATCAATTTGTATCAATTTGTATGACCCCATTCTCAGCGCTAGTCCTAGGCGGGGTTCCTCAAGAAAAAGCCACCCCTCTTTCCCTTTAAACCAAAGACAACAAAACAACAAAACAACAAAACCCTCTTCTCTTCTCTTCCTTTCTACCACATCACACATTTACACACCGCTTCTCATCCTCAACAACTTTCCCCCTCTTCCTTCTATCTTTCCTACAAATACAATCAAATCACTCTGAACATATCTTCAAAAGTGTTCAGTTCTTCATATTCTCAATAACTTCCTTTCTTTTCTCCACATAATTGAATAGAAAGAGATCAACACAATTACAATCTCCGACTTCGCTGTCTAGTTTCATCTCTAGCACGCCTTAAGTTGTCGGTTTAAATACCTTCACATCAACCAATACTTTTGAACCTCTTCTCATCACATTTCAATATCGCAAATATGGTTCAATCGTAAGTATTATCTTCTGACATACACATTACAGTCTATTAATCATGTCTGCTATAGATCCGTTCTTGGTTTCCCACGCATGGGAGCTCTCAGAGAGCTTAAGAAAGCTACTGGTAAGATTTTACACCTTACATTGCTACCCCACATTGTATACTAACAATATCAATAGAGGCATACTGGGGTCAAAAGATCTCTCAAGCTGATCTCCTCGCTGAGGCAAAGAGACTTCGTCTTGAGCACTGGAACATCCAAAAGAAGGCCGGTGTCGATATCATCCCATCCAACGACTTCGCCTTGTACGATCAAGTCCTCACTCACATCCAAGACTTTGGTGTAAGTATTTTTTTTCCCTTTGCAGCCTCAATGTAACCCCGCTGACATTTATCCTTCCAGGCTACACCAGAGAGATATACCCAACATGGTCTCGACCCAGTCGATCAATACTTTGCCATGGGACGTGGTCACCAACGTGATGGTGTTGATGTTTCTTCCTTGGAGATGGTAAAATGGTTCGACTCAAACTACCATTATGTCAAGCCAACTCTTCAAGACAACCAAACCTTCAAGCTCAGCCCCGACCCAAAGGCTGTTCGTGAGTTCAAGGAGGCCAAGGATGCTGGTATCACTACCCGACCCGTCTTGGTTGGTCCAGTTTCTTTCCTCCACCTCGGAAAGCCAGACCGTGGACAAACCGTTGATCCAATTGATCTTTTGGAGAAGCTTTTGCCAGTTTACATTGAGCTCCTTAAGCAACTTAAGGCTGCTGGTGCCGAGACTGTTCAAATTGATGAGCCAACCCTCGTCTTCGATCTTCCATCCAAGACCAAGGCTGCTTTCAAGCCAACCTATGAGAAGCTTATCAGCTTAGGTGATGAGATCCCAAAGATCGTCTTCGCTACCTACTTTGGTGATATTGTTCACAACATTGATGCTCTCCCAACAGACATCTATGCTGTTCACGTTGACTTGGTCCGTAACCCAGAACAATTGGAGACTGTCATCTCCGCTTTGGGATCAAAGACCATCTTGTCCGCTGGTGTTGTTGATGGACGTAACATCTGGAAGACCAACCTCAAGCGTGCTATTGAGACTGTTGAATCTGCCATTCAAAAGCTCGGAAAAGACCGCGTCATCGTTGCCACTTCTTCTTCCCTCCTCCACACCCCACACACTCTTGCAAGCGAGAAGAAGCTTGACCCAGAAATTGCCGATTGGTTCTCTTTCGCTTCCGAGAAGGTCGTTGAAGTTGCCATCATTGCTAAGGCCGTCACTGAGGGACCAGCTTCTGTCCGTGCTGAGCTCGAGGCTAACGCCAAGTCCGTTCAAGCTCGTGCTTCTTCCAAGAGAACCAATGACCCTAAGGTCAAGGACCGTCAAGCTAAGATTGTCGAGAAGGATTACAACAGAATCTCCGAGTTCCCAGAACGTATCTCTCTCCAACAAAAGGCCTTGGGTCTTCCTCTTTTCCCAACCACCACCATCGGTTCTTTCCCACAAACCAAGGAGATCCGTATCTCCCGCAACAAGTTCACCAAGGGTGAGATCACTGCTGAGGAGTACGAGAAGTTCATTGAGAAGGAGATTCGTGATGTTGTCAAGGTTCAAGAAGAACTTGACCTTGATGTCTACGTTCACGGTGAGCCAGAACGTAACGACATGGTTCAATACTTCGGTGAACGTCTCGATGGTTATGCCTTCACCACCCACGCATGGGTTCAATCTTACGGTTCCCGTTGTGTTCGTCCTCCTATCATCGTTGGTGACATCTCTCGTCCAGCCCCAATGACTGTCAAGGAGTCCAAATACGCTGTCTCCATCTCCAAGAAGCCAATGAAGGGTATGTTGACCGGACCAATCACCTGTTTGAGATGGTCCTTCCCTCGTGATGATGTTCATCAATCCATCCAAGCCGAGCAACTTGCTTTGGCTCTTCGTGATGAGGTTATTGATCTCGAGGCTGCTGGTGTTTTCGTCATTCAAGTCGATGAGCCAGCTCTTCGTGAGGGTCTTCCTCTCCGTGCCGGTAAGGAGCGTGAGGCTTACCTTGAATGGGCCGTGAAGTCTTTCAGACTCTCCGTCGCCGGTGTTCAAGATTCCACTCAGATTCACTCTCACTTCTGTTACTCTGAGTTCCAGGATTTCTTCCACGCCATCGCTGCTCTTGACGCTGATGTTCTCTCCATTGAGAACAGCAAGTCTGATGCCAAGCTTCTCAAGGTCTTCGTTGATGAGGCTTACCCACGTCACATTGGTCCAGGTGTTTATGACATCCACTCCCCTCGTATTCCATCCGAGCAAGAGATCAAGGACAGAATTGAGGAGATGTTGCAATTCCTCAAGCCGGAACAACTTTGGATTGATCCTGATTGTGGTCTTAAGACTCGTCAATGGGCTGAGACTAAGGCTGCTTTGACCAACATGGTCAACGCTGCCAAGTTCTACCGTCAAAAGTATGCCAACAAGGCATAAATCTCACTTCATACTCAGTTGTTAATAGGGGATATGATTTGAGGATGATTTCATGAGCTTTTTATTTTTATTTTTATTTTATTATGTCTTGGTTCTTTAACCAATGGGAACGACTTCAACATCGGCGTTTCTTGGTTGGGGCATTCAAGAGAAAAGCGATTTGTTATTGTGAGCGTTGCTTGGGAGTTTTCAACAGCATAGGGCGGTCGTGGGTAACAGATGATCCATCAACCGGACATCTTGGTGGCGTGGCGTATGATGAAAAATGAATGATGGGAATGAAGAAAGGGGATGGGATTTAGGACTCTTGTGACGTTAAACCGACTTACTATCTTGATGATGGTCAGAAGGACGATGAGAGTGGTATTGGTGGATGTTGGTAGATTTGATAAAAGATAGATAAATACACCCTTTTCAACCGGGAAACAAATTTGTGTACTGAATGATTGATGTGATGTGATTTGTATGTGAATGATGGGGATAGTCGGTTTGAATAGTCAAGATGTTGGATGTTTAAGAGATGAGATGTTTCAACATTCGGTTTGATAAGATGAGGTAAGGTATATGAAGTACGAAGAGGCCGAGAGTGAATGCAGTAGATGTGAAAATAGAACGAGGCGAGTGAGAATGAGGCATGGCAGGCTAGTAGTCTCTGGGATTTGGGGATGTGCTGTAGCATGCATCTCCAAATTTTAGTTTTAATCAAAATAGGAAGTCCAGCTTTATGTGAAGGGGATAGATGGCCAATAAATAATGAACAAGAGGTGGCATTTTCAAAATTTCACTGTCGTTAGTAGTAATAATGCTATTCTTGCCATTGATGGGCCATTATCGTCGCTATTGGGACGGGGCAAATCAACTCCGCATCAACCCCCCCACGGAATCTAGTCTACTAATTATACTATGATCTGAATTTTCCCTCGGTGATTGCTTGACCCTTTGTGCTGAATTACTTGTGGTGATCTATGAAATATTTGATCTATTGAAGTTGGAAAGATGCCAGCCAGCCAGTGTGTTTCTTTTATATTTATACTTATATTTAGTACTTCGTATATCAATGCAAATGTATGAAGCGAGATATATGAGTAGTGGAGGTTTCATTCATTATTTGGTAGACGGGTTCTGAATAGTCTTTCTCAAAGTGGAGATGGAGTTGACTGCTTCATATTTAGTAAGATTGGATGAATGCACTAGTAATAAGGATCGGAGTTCTGAGTATTCAGGTCCTAATTTGTTCTTGCAAATCTCCCTGTTACTCTCGAAGCTTGATGGAGTAAAGTACGAGAATCAGTTGGATGAAATGCATGAGGCTGTGGAGTTAAACATACATCGCATAGTTCTCAACGGAGAGATATAGAATATTGTTTATGGGATAAGAATAGATGGAAGAAAGCTTGCAGTCTCATGTTGAGAAGTTTCGGTGATTGATTGTTGTCTCTCATAAGATAGCGGTGTTGTTGCCGTTCTTTATCTTGCTGTCGATATTCTCTTTTGTGAAATCTTGGGACGAGTTATATCTCTGGAAGAAGAGCTTGGTTTGTTGTTCTTGTTGGGTTCAGAGTATTGGTATATGTGTTATTCAGTTCAATGATCTTGATCTCCCCTCCTTAGCATATTTTGCCTTTTTCTCTCTTTTTTTTATCCTTAGAACTAGTAGGATAGGAGAGGAGGGGAAGGTATTTTCTTTGAGGGTGGGGGGGGGGAGGGGGGGAGGAGGGGCTTTCGATAATGATCATGTGATTGAATTATCAGAACTGAAACCCAAAACTGTTGAAATAATTTCATCTTTTAATATCTTGGCATTTCAATCTAATTTCGGAATATCCTATCCTATTCCTATTCACTCCTAATCTCATTTTGGCCTATTACTCTCCACTCCTATCCTGAAAGAAATCTGATCACTCCTTCCTGCTCCAACCCCAAGCTCCAGCGAACCTATCCCTTCCTGCAAGGCAGGATAGGATAGGAGGGGAATTCAAGCTCACTGATTCAATTTTGGCATACAAGTCGGGGCTTGGTTTACCTTTAGATATAGATGAGCTATCAACCGGGGAAAACGAGCAAAAATGTACATAAAAGGGTCAGAATCTTCAAACTGAGTGTTCCTACAAAATTAAATAGGAGACTGGAGATGCAACCGAAAGGATTACCTTTTTAACCGAAGACATGATGAAGTATGAACGGCAAGCCCAGAGTATTGTTTATATGAGACAGCGAGGTACAGTAATGATTGAGACCCCCACATGGGTTATCAAAGTGGCTGAGAGACGTGGCACAGAGGCGCAGTAGCTTTTCATCATAAGATCAATGTCTTAACAGCAGTCTTCTCATATTCCTCTATCATCCACCATGTCGTCTCTATATGCAGACCTGCCACTTCTTCAACCTGACAAGCAAATTAGATTGCTTCGACTTGAGCAATCATCGTCTGACTGTGATGACTACAACTTCAGCTTGGCGGTGCATGACTTTCACGATGATGCACGCCCATCCTACATTGCCATTTCCTACACATGGGGAGATGCCGTTCCACTTCTTTCAATCATCGTGAATGGTAACAAGATACGAGTGCAGTTCAATTGCTGGTATGCCCTATGGCAGATGAGACACCATGGGTTCACTGATTATTTGTGGATTGATTCCCTATGTATCAATCAAGATAATGATGAAGAGAAGAATTTCCAAGTGGCTATCATGGGATCGATTTATGAATGTGCTTTGTGGGTTGCCAGTTGTCTTGGTACTGGTGAGACCATCGGTGCCATACAGTCCGCCTTGGCATCTAATGATAATGAGGCCTTAATCGCCCGAGTGAAACTGCGAGAAAGATTTGATCAAATACCATATTTTGATAGAATATGGATCAAACAGGAAATTATTCTTGCGCACGCTATAACCATTTTTTACGGAGTCGAGAAGATCTCATGGGAAGACTTTACACTTTTGATAAACGCAGGGGAGGATCCAGGGGACAAGGAAAATGTTGACTATGACCCCCTTGAAGATTCGAATCACTTCCAAGTATCGAGCAATTCCAGCGCCGAGAGCCGAGACTTAGATTTGCAAGTCGATAAGGCTGGGAATAATTCTGGAACTATACAGCTTTGCAGTCATCGCTTACAGCCGGAGTTTAGTAAGAACACCTTTATGGATCTGGTACTTAGGTACGACAAGGCAAAAGCTACAAATCCAAGAGATAAGATCTATGCCCTACTCTCACTTCTTCCTAAAGATGACTTCATTCGGCAAAACTTACCCATCGAATATGACCAGCGACCGTTCCAAGTCTTTCACAAAATCGTGAGATTATTATATAGTACATACGGAGACGAAGAAGTGGGAAGAAAAAACCTTACTCTAACTCTTGTAAGGAAGTGGCTGGGTATCGACGAAAATGATCAGGATATGGCCATGTATTTAACTTCGATTCCATCTTCACCGTCAGATTGGCTTCCATCTTCGACATCAGACCTGATTAGTCCTTGGCTTAAAGGGATGGACCCATTTGCTATCGTTTATATTGACGAAATGTACCCTCTACTCGGAAAAGACAATATTCAGCCTGGCCCAAGATTCAGCATTGAACCCATGGGGCATTCACCAGTGGCCCTCCTCCAAAATATAACTTCATGGCGGCCTGACGAAAGCAAGCAGGGCAAGACTGAAACAAATCTTTCTATACCGTCACGTCTCAAGACTATAAAAGTTATCTCCCAGCTTACAAGGTTCGGAGCATATAATTGGAGAGAGTTCCTAGTCAATCCGGACGTTAAACCTGGAGATTTCATTGCAAGAGTAGTCTGGGATGGAGAAAGTACTCTTCTATGGAGCGAAGGCTACATCATTTTGCGAAAGATGAAGACCATGAACGGAGATGAAGAAACGGACGAATTGGATCACTCTGTGCCGTGTCTAGTCAACAAACGAAATGAGAATGATACCACACATTTATTACAGCGCGGAAGCAACGAGACTATTTCTTACTTCCTCCACAGCTGGGTCGTTCTGGTAGACACAAGCCTCACACTTCTACATAGTGGAAACCCCTTTATCGATCTGTTTAGTGAGCGGCGTAAGAAGTCTGAACATTTGGGTCAACTAGAACTACATCATCGTGATGCTTTGATACCCCTGATTTTGGACCAAAGTCCTCTACATGCTTTGATGTATCCTGCCCCTGAAGGTACATCCCTTTCAACGATCCAGTTGGACAATACCCTAAAATCTGGGAATCGAAAGCGACAGTTGAGTTGTTTGTCGAAGCATGAAGCAGATTATGACTATATCAGAGATGTACTGGGGTAAGATCTGGATGCACTAAGGAAGAGAGAGTCATGGCAGTGACAGAGATCTTTGTACTTTCTTGATGGCAGTAAAGCAATGGTTAATGGCGATAAACTCGAGTTCTAACTTTACAGATGTCACAGGCAGTCTTGATAATACTTGGAAATAAACAATACATGCATTTTATACTATTCCTGGTCGACATTTGACAATTGTAAAGATTCTCCATGTATAATATCCTCCCACAATGACTCGGAATATGTAAATCAGCAACTCCCATTCGGTTAGTTACCATACTTATACACCCTCAGCGTTTCTATCTCAGCCAAAGAAAGTATGTCGCAATACACTTGACCGATAAACAAATGTTTCCCATCTCCTTCTCCGTTATCAACACACAATCTGCAAGGATAATTCTATCCAATTATTTAAATGCCACAGCATATACAATAACCTTTAAAAGCAAGTGGCCAGAATTTCTTCTTTAAGCACAGTAAACATGGGCGAGTATACCCGTAACACAACATATCCCAATTTGTTATGTCACGTAATGTAATGTACTGGTAGCTGGTGGAATTTCTATGTGTACAGAGGATTCAGTGATATGTGATAACCATTGGGAATTGTCGTAAGATCGATGGTGAATAAATAGTGTGAGACTTATAGAGAGACGGTGATATAAATTTCAACTGGTGGTAACAAAGTGCTGTTGAATTCTTCCAGTGTTTCCAACTCATGGTATGCAGCCTTTTTGCAGTGCTTTTCAGATGAAACTTATAATAAGTGCTTGTTCCGAACCCCTTGAGTTTGATGTGAGGGCCTTGATCTCCTGTTCAAGGTTTTTCCTTTCTGAAATTAATGGTGCTTTGTATACTCGCATCGCTCTACTATAGAAATTCACTGATCACTTGAATGTATGTTCTCAGATACGATAGAGATTCCGACTTTCATAGTATTTTTACTTCTATATTACTCACTAGATCACTACATCACTAAGAAGCTCTAAAGCACTAGGTCGTTTTGTAATCTTGTGTGGTTTTATATATAAGTAACCCGAACTCGACAGGTAAATAACATGTCACTATTACCAGACTGATGGGACCATCATACAAGGAAACATATCAATGCTCACATCAGTCCGAGAACTCATCTACTAGGTAGTCAGGCGAGAAGCATTTTGCCGAGTGGAGGATGTTTTGGCAATAGTTATTATATCTGTCGTTGTCACTAAACAAATCTTATAGAATGGCATTGGCAGACACATGAATCAGCACGGCAACAAATATTAAAATCTTCTACTACTGTTATTAGTCTCTCAGTAGATGAACCCCGTGGGGATAACTTAGTATACCATCACTAACCGCAGCATCAAAGATATTTTCAATGTTGGCTTTCTCTTCGGATTCCCCACTCCTATAATCTGTCTTTCATAACTTCTTCGCTTGAGGTATTTTTATACCCTTAACCAAAAGATTCTTCACAGTTTTAGTACGGGTTGAAATGGGGAAGACCGAGTGGGGGGTAATTAGTAGATCGTGTGAAGGCTTTGCCAAATTGCATACAGTATCTAGCCTTGTCGATAGAAATTATTATAGAATCTTTACTCTACTCAAAGTACATATGTATATATCTTGGAAGTTCCAGTTTTACCTTGATGAGGAATTATCTACCATGAGAAAGAATGGTTATGGCAGTTTTATATGTTGGTTGGAATGCTTCATGATCTTGATTTTCTTATAGTTCTTATGAACATTTTATAATTCCCCGTGCTATTGACTGGCTACTGCCTACTAGCTACTAAAAGTTCAAGCACAGCAACAAACTACTGTTCAACCGGACGAAATATCAAAGAACTTATCACTTCCTTCCCTTCTCAACCACCATTAATCATCATTTACAGCCAACAGTATATATACCGTAACAACAGCAATGAATCAAAATCTCAGAGTAACATCACGTCATCACGTCATCATGTCGAAGAAGTCACGCTATCACACCGTTATGATGTGGTACGCAGCAATGAAGCACCATAAACCCCATACGACTTCTCGAGTAATCCTAAATCTTACTTCAATAGCCTAATTCCTAAGCAGACATCCGTAAGTTCTATTTCATTATGCTATAAGCTTCGAATAGAGGTATTTGAATAGCTTTTTATACTGATACTTGAACTTTGAAGTGTTTCGCTACTAAGTAAGTCTTTTAATAGATTCCTATAATAATTATCATAGTTCCGTTTATTTGAGTACGTTTATTGAGATTAAAATCTTATCAAGATCTACATAGTAGATATACATCAAGAAAAACATTCAAAAGGCAAACAACTTTTCATATTCTAAGTAATATCATACTGATATAGAGACAGACAATCCTTCCGAATCCGTATTTACGTTGTCTACTCAGAGTCACGGTTAGTATTTCAAAAAATTTAATCATGAACGCGCCATTCCCAAGCTTGATAAGGTTACCTACCCTATTTTCTTTTTATGGCGAGACATATCGGTATATTTTTCATTTTGATTTACAGATCTTGGGATACCAGTATCCGGCATTTTCATATATTAGTGGTTCAAAAAAATGAGTGTTGGTATAGCTCGAGAAAGCCTAGGCTTAGGAGTAAAGCCACTGTACCTACAATTAATGGGTGGTATATAAGCAAAGCTTATTATTATTCTACTCGAATAGGTAACAGTATATAGAGGGGTAAGATACATTAGGCGGGGTACAGGGCGCATACTGTATAAAAATCGGACCCAACCATACATCCAGAACATTTCACAAAAGTCCGATTGTATGAAGATCATTTGGGACACATGAGATAGGTACTCGAGTAGAGATAACGAAATATTCATTATTCTCAAGCAAAAGACTCGCAAAAGCAGATAGATACCACTCATATAACGAAACACCGAAACCCTCATAAGATCCATCCATCATCCAAGATTTCCATCCATACGCTGCGCTCGCCGGCGACTCAAGTCCTGTGATCCTGTCCTTGTGTGCCCCAAAACTCCTTGCCAATACCATAACGTTACCATCAAAACCCGGATATCATCCTATCGTAACCGTGATTATGTCCTTAGTGTGCCCAGTCTTGTAAACCCTTATATCAAAACCTAGATATCATCCTACCGCAACCGTGACTATGTCCCTACTTAGTGTGCCCCGTCTTGTAAATCCTTATATTAACCATTCCCCAAAAAACGTACCCTTTTTCCAACCGAATCTTATGGCGCCCAGAACTTTTCTCTTTGTGGCCCATTTGACACTCCATATGCATAACCATTTCTTTCCCTTTCATTCAAATCCTCGTTCATCGGTACTGATCCCACTAACGTTTCTTTTCTCGTAGGTCTGTAAGAAGCGGGAACTGCCTTGATGAATGCATCAGGCTTCTCAAACGCTGTGATCTTCTCATCGTAAAAATTGACATAGATAATTTGTTCATTGCTCCATTTTTCCGTCCAGGAATTATGCATATGTCCAATCATGAAGTCGAGGCTCTCTGTAGAAACAACATGTTGATCTGATACAACTTGTGGTTCTAGTTTCGGCGACGGGATAGGGGTTGGAACAGGAGTCGATGCAGGTGGTGTGATAACTAGACGTTGTGCGAGACCGATTATAGAGTTGGAAGCGTCTGCCTCGATGAGTTTCCAGTGCTGAAGGAGAGCACTGAAGCCGGGAAGCTGTTTGGGACCAGTGGTTTGTGTGGGCTTGTTGGCGATCTCGTATAGTTTTGTTTTTATATCAGAGGATACCGCCCGAAGACATTTGCTCATGAGTCCCACGGAATCTTCATCACCAATATCCATCTTGTATCCAAAACATTGCTGTAGTGTATCGTATTTTGTAGAAAGGGCGGCATGGGAAGTGAGTAGATGTGCCAGAAGATTATCGAAATTATCATGCTTGGAACCTAGTCGGCGAGTCTGTCTGATTTGATGACAAAATCCGATACAGTTTGACAACTCATCGAGAAGAGTGTCGACTTGTTTTCGAAAGACGACTCCAGTGGGAGACATATTTGCGGTAGTGGGTTCACTTAATGTATGATAGTAGTGAAGTAGTGATAGATAGTATGGAAAACTAAGTCCGTGACTGAATAGAGAAACAAATATGCAGCCCTACTGCAGTTGTCTGTGTTGAGCGAAATGATCTTTGTCTAATCCAAAATGTTTGAGGAAATGAACAGAAATAATTGTTCAATGAGCGGAACCATCTTAGTTTAAACTCGCATTTGATGACACAATCCAAAATTCGGAGACCATTCACCATATCAGTCAACAATGGAAAATATGAGTCCAAACCTCAGCCACAGCCACGATATCATTCGCATTGTTACAAAATCCAGGGGATGCAGTTCCAGATATTCACCCCCAGTTTGCTGATGACTTACATTTTGACTCAGATTCTATTCAATAGAAGTGAAGTGATAGGGCTGAAAACGAGTAGAATGATGATTGCCTAGAACCTAAAGGATAGATTATTGTGTGCGTTATGACTGGTACGCTGGTACGTCTATGTGATTCCATTTCCTACAGAACGAGATTGAGGGGTAGCCAGTAAGGCGTAGAGTCATTGCGAAACCATAATGTTACTCAATACCTTTATGTTCGCAAACTTGCATTGTTTGGCTCATCGAAATGATGCCAAAATGCGAGAACGGCTTGTTGCATAGAGCCAATATATGGCGTGAGGCAGATTTTGAAGCTTTCGAAGTCACGGAAGTATATGGAAGAAGTAAGCAGTGTGGTGGCTGTGTCTTATTGGACGAGCCACAATCCTACGAAAGACGGAAATGTTTGGTTGAAGAAGAAGAACATCATGTGATATATGAGCTACGCCTTGAGCATTGAGCTGAAAAGAGACACACTCCAATCTCCGGTTACATCGTTGAGCCTCAAACTGTACCTCGAGTGAGTCGACGTCTTATGCCATCCATATGAGCGGCTGGGACATGTATTAGCTTAGACTATGATTTGTGCTGGGTCTGTGGTCGTTGGAAGGCACCGGTATGGAGATTTGATGAGGCTTGACGAAGGGCTTTGCTTGAGTCTGACTTTGAAGAAAGAAAGAAGTTTTCGAGCATACGCAGTGATTCCATATCCTTGAACTTGGCGTATTTCCGCATTTCTAAGTCCGTTATCTCCAACACTTCAGAGTACTGGTAGAGGTTTTTGGTACGGGCATTCTAGTGTCACCACGTGACGAAGCCGTTCGACGCTGAGCAATCTGACACGTTGCGATTTAGAATAATATACCGGTATGTGTTGCTATCTTACTTTTTAATCCAAATTGTGATTCCTTTGTCTTGTCAGCCCTACAGTAACTTCACTCAACATCAACTCGCTTTAGTCATGTGAACATGGAGACTTCTTCTATTTGTCAAACACCTTCAGTTGTTGCAGAAAATTTGCTTTAAGCCAATGATGGAGTTGAAACCGTTGTCATTACCTCTCCGGCCCGAAACAGCTGGTCTTCGTCACCAGGTGGAGAGTTCAACACGGATTGACCCCACATCAGCGATCCCGACTTGGCACAGTCCCGACCAGAAAGAGTATGGAACTGCGATCTTCCCGGCCGCCATACATATACACCTGATATGGTTCATCGACTTTTTTTCGAGGAATTCGGAGTTCAAAGAGAGATCCAGTGATATGCGTAGTAGCTCTCGCTGCTAGGATAGCTTGAAAAACAATGAGAAGATGCGTGACATTTGATTGAATCGAACTAAGGGGGAAAAGGGGGGCGTATCTCTCAGGTACATTACCCGCAATATTAGCTTAATTATTTCGATACCCGTCCATAGTATCGTCGTCAGCATATGCGAATTTGTCGGACAACTATTTCAGACTAAGATTACCAAATATCTCGAAAGCCGCTTCTTCGTCGAGAATACCATGTTTCTTTTCTTCTTCGACAACACTCCAGGATGGCGAGGTACAAGGGAGCGTCTGTCATCTTCGTAGTGTAACTATCCCTCTTGTTCTATCTATGGACTAAAACACCAAAGCAGATAACGAAATCGATTGAAATTGTCGAGGAGGAAGAGTTCGAGCCATCGCCAGGACCACGCATTCAACCTCCGGCTGTGAGAGCTCGACCACCAGGACCGATTCATAAACAGCTTTTAAACATCGAAAGCTCTCATGAATCAAGCCAAATCGCCGATACCTTCCAGTACGAAACCCTTCCTGATATACCATTATGGAATAAATCGCCAAAGGAATATGTTCCCGAGAGAACTCCTCTTTTCATAGGTTTTACTCGAAACTGGCCCTTACTACAACAATGCATCCTATCATACATTACCGCGGGATGGCCTGCAGATGATACTTATGTTGTGGATAACACTGGTACCATGAAATCTAACTTCATCCCTAAGCCAAATATCACTCTTCAAACCCCTTCATATCTGAACGTTGATCGGGTCACGAATGTATTTGGAGTCAAGGTAATTTTCACCCCAAATCTCCTCACTTTTGCTCAGCTTCAGAACTTTTACATCTACACCGCACTTGAAAATGACTGGGAAAATTATTTCTGGAGTCACATGGACGTGGTTGTATTCTCAGAGGAAGACCTCACCCATGCACCGCTAAATCAGCAACGAAATCCCGCGACGTCCCACAAGTCGCTGTAAATGCGAGCTGTCGACGAGCTACGAAAGACTCTAGATCCGAATTATGCAGAGGTTACGACGGATGAGGCATCCGCTTTTTCGAGTACGATTGGCTGCCGCTGAATAATGTGCAAAGCTTCGTAAAGATGGGAGGGTGTTACTCGTCAGATTGCGATATGTACCAGAGACTTGGGATGGCGGGTATCATAATGGATACCGCTGAGGCTGGCTGGGTTATGGATGTAGGGAGAACGATTGATCTGAATCCGCTATTTCGTCGAAAATACAGCATAGATATGCCGCCTACAACTGCAGCTGAAATGAATAAGTTGGCAGAGGACAATATGGGAGGAGAAAGCTTCAAAAGACTGATAAATTTAGTGCAAAAAGAGGCAGAATTGAAAAATAATGATCAAAGAGAGCGAAATAGTTGGCAACAGAGGCAGTCGGGTGGTCATGGAGAATTATTCTATCGAGACCCGAGAGGCTTTGAACAAGCGCTGGAAATATTGATTAGGAGTGGGGATGAGATATATTTGGAGAAATGGGGGCACATAGGCTTCGATCTTAGAGAATCGGGATTAAAACTAGATGATGCTTGGATGGTCGAACACGATTGGGAGTAGTCTTCAACTGTGAAGGTTCATTTCGTTTATTGTATGTTACTCGATACTCTACTCGATACTCGCTGTTAAACACTGAGTTCTTTATTTATTCGTTTTCATTGCTTGGATTTACCATCTATCTATGATTCTTATTTCTTTCATCTTCTTTCTCATAGAAACCGCGTTTGTTACATATATCTGAGAGGCGTCAATTGACATTCAACATACAAAGACTACTTTGCCTTTCTTCCTTCCGAGAAAACTACCTGACTTCCAAAAAGCACATTCAATACTCTCCGCCCAGTTTTTCAAAAAGTTCAACGGTACCTACTTCTTAGCATCATGGACTTCAACGACTCTGCTGGGACTGGTACTGTTGTAGTAATCGCAACGTTCCAAAAACAATCATATCATGTCCCCTGCCTCCTCATCAAACCGTCACGATCCCGATACTGAGGAGTCTACCACACCACCCGCAACTCTTTAGGAAAAATAAATTGAAAGCGAAATCGAAATCGAAACTCAATTTTTCTTCAATGTACCGAGCGAGGCCTACAACAATGATTCGGTTGCGGGGCATTGTCGTCTTCATTTAAAATTCTCGACACAGCAACGTGGTAATACTGGCTTCAAAGCTCAGTTCCAGTGGAACTCCAGCTTTATATCTCCCCAAGATATCTAGTGAGAATTTAAAGCGAGAGTATTTAGCATTTAGCATTTAGCATTTAAACCACACGTTATGTGATGTATCGCAGTCAATACAAAGAGATGTGCTACGTCGGATTGGCCATGTCGTACATATGCACAGCAGGTGGGGAAATGGCTTCGTGTGCTTACTGCAGTCAGTATAGATCAGATTCTAAGTGCTTACGCCAATTTGATGATGGCGTAAGTTTCGTCACATAGCGGTTAAAGTCGATTATATATATCCATCGTATTTCCAGTGAAGCTTTTCACACTCATCATCACCCCAAAGATGTTTCGCAAACATACCGCTTCGACCGAAGGTCTCGCGGAAACGTATGATTATATTATTATTGGAGGTGGCACAGCGGGATTGACCGTAGCTTGTCGACTCTCAGAAGATCCAAATCTTCAAATTCTCGTTATCGAGGCGGGAGCAAATCTTGTGGACGATCCGAAGATTCTCACACCGGGCTTGGTTGGAACTTTATATGACGATCCCATGTACGATTGGGAGTTTAAAACAGTCCCTCAGGTAACTAAATCTAGTAGAAAGTATCGTGAATGCGCTAATTTTGGACAGGAAACATTGTCGGGGCGTTCGATACCTCATCCTCGAGGGAAAGTTCTGGGTGGATCGAGTGTAATCTACCAGAATAAGATCACTTACAACTCGAAATCGGGATTTGATGCTTGGGAGAAAATGGGCAACCCAGGATGGAATTATGAATCTATGCTGCCATATCTTCGACGATTCCATACATTTCATCAACCTACCGGACCCATTGAAGAAGCGCTTAAATATTCTCACGTGGATGAAGTATTGAAAGGTGATGATGGTCCAATTCAAACAAGCTTCACTGATTCTTTCTCGGACACGGATAAGGATTTCTACAAAGTTGTTAAGGACTTTGTTAAAAAAGAAAACTACGATGAGACTTTGGTCGGTGGATTTGCCTCATCAGTATCTATTGATCCGAAGACGAGAACACGTAGTTTTGCTGGATGTGCATATTACAACGACGAGGTGGCCTCCCGCCCAAATCTACGTGTGGTTACCGAAGCAGTTGTTGATTCTATTGTGATTGAATCTCCTAATGATAGACCAAGGGCTTCTGCGGTTTTGTTTCAATCTGTGGCTCAATCTTTTAGCTTATGGCATGAGGTATGGGCAAAGCACGAAGTCATTCTTTGCGCCGGTGCATTCCAGTCGCCAGCCATTCTCGAGCGTTCGGGTATTGGCTCGGCAGATATTCTGGATTCGCATGGGTATTACATAAATATTGATAATCCTAATGTTGGAGAGAATCTACAAGATCATGCGGTGGCTGCGGTATCTTTCGAAGCAGCCGAAGGTGTCCAGACTGCTGATGTTCTTGGGAGAGATCCGAAAATAATGGAGTCACTCATCGCCATGTATCAACAAGATCACTCTGGCCCTCTTGGTCAGTTCTTCACAGCCTCCGCATATATGCCTACACCTTCCCTATTTGGACCTGGCGGCTCGGTAGAATTATTGAAAATTCTTGCCACCTCTTCATCGGACCCCAATGACAAACATCATGAAGCTGTTGTACGAGATCTTCTCTCCCAGCCCGATGGAGCGTCAGCCCATTACTTCATGGCCAAAATTCAATTCGATGCCAGCAACGCACCTACAATTACAGAGCTCATGACACCCAAGAGACCAGAAAATTACATAACTCTCCTCACAAGTCAAAATCACCCTTTCTCCCGCGGCAGTGTTCACATCGATACCCACAAGCGAGAAGTAAGTACATATATGAAGAATCTCCAAAACCATAAACCGGCCGTTGATCCCAGATATCTCTCGCATCCCCTTGATATCGAAATCCTCGCTCGTAATGTTCAGTTTCTGCACTATCTCATTTCTACACCCCCGTTCTCACAGTACTTCAAACAAGATGGGAAGAGGATCCCGACAAATGCTTTCCATGGCAACAGGGAACCGAGCTTGGAAGAAGCAAAACAGATTGTGAAGGATAGTTTGATAAGTCATTTTCATCCGGTGGGCAGCTGCGCCATGTTGCCGAGAGATAAAGGGGGTGTGGTTGATACTGAATTAAGGGTCTATGGAGTAGATAAGCTGAGGGTGGTGGATGCTAGTATTTTCCCTTTAAATGTTAGAGGAAACCCTATCACAGCCGTCTATGCGGTGGCGGAGAGGGCTGTGGATATTATTAGGAACTGTCTGATAGGGAAGGGAGAATAGCAGAAAGGATTGGCTCGTTGGAATTTGAATCAAGGAAAATGCACGAACGTATCTAGCTAGATACTATTGATGATACCCCGATGACATTGCATCATGAATTGACTACACTGCTTGACCGTCGTTTCACCACCTACATTATTCCTGTACGCACCCTAACGGATCGGGGATGGATCACATGAAAGATGGATGAGTAGAGAAATCAATTGGTTTATTCTACATAGTTATCCTGGTTACCTGGACTATTCAGTTCTAGTAATGGAATCTCTTCACAAATCAAATTTCTGCCCAACAATCTTCTCACTGAGCGCCCATAATCTCTTTGCGTTTTCTGCATTCGTGGTGTAGTCGGCTGTCTGAACAATTTGACAATCAGATAGAAATGCACCGGAGTGATCTGTTTAAAAAAGCATTAGCATCATCGAAGTAAAATCACATGCGGGGAAAGAAAGGTATTTACCTTTTAGAGCAGGATCAAGAGCAGCAACCAATGTTGTTGAGGTGCCTGCTTCGAGGCTTTTCCACAGCATTTGACCCTCGGCCTTTACGTATCCTATATTTTTTGTCAGTCCGACTTATTTGTGCTATCATTAAGAGATTAAGATTCTAACTTACCTCTCGCGTTGAAGATTTCGACCGCAGAAGTCATATCTTTCTCAACATCTAATTCTCTTCCCAAATTCGTCAGAATAACGCCAGGATGGAGAGTAATTGCCTGTACACCCTTGCTCTTTAATCTCTTTGACAACTCAACGGTAAACAGAATATTGGCGGTCTTGCTCTGTCCATAAGCAGACCATTTCTCCCAAGTTTTTCCAGAATTGAAATTATAGTCATCAAATCTCACTTCGCCCAATCCCCATCCCATGCTCGACAGATTGACAATTCGCGCTCCTTCAGATGCAGCAGCAACAATGGATGGCATGAGTAGATTTGTCAGGAGGAAATGTCCAATGTGGTTCGCACCAAATTGAACCTCGACACCCTCGGGTGTGGTACGGTACTCGGCTGGAGCCATAACACCCGCATTATTGATTAGGGTGTGGATCTTCGGTGTGGTAGTGAGAATAGTTTTGGCGGCGGATCGGATGGAGGAATATATCCCGAGATCACAATGGATAAATTGCACTATTGTGTTCGGGGAAGCGGTTTTGACTGATTCGACGGTAGGAGCAGCTTTCAATTCGTCCCGGCCGAGGAGGAAGATGGTGGATGGTTTGGATGCGGCGAGGAGTAATGCAGTCTGAGCTCCTAGACTACCTGGTGTTGGGCCGGTGATAACAACTAGATATGTCAGAAGATCATCACGTGAAATTCGGAGGGGGTAACTCACAAGTCTTGCCAGCCACAGAATTTGGGAATGCGGCGACGACGTCAGCGCCGCTTGTATCTTGGTTAAACTCCGAGTTAATGGCCATTTTGTCGTGTTTTTGAACTGAGATTTGAAGAATGTTTAGAATGTAGCTCAGGATGTTGATATTGTGTTGTTGAATGGATGGGACTTTATTACTTTGAAAATTCGACGATGCAGTCTTTATATACATAATCTCAAGGTCTTAATGTCCACAAAAGTTCCTCTCCAGATCCACTGTATTTTGGGACCAGGTATCGGAATACGCGCGCCATCTGTCTTGAGATATTCCACTTGAATGCCCATTTGCTTTGATGGATCATGAGGAAGACGAACGAAAGTAATGAGGCAGATGTTTTGATCGGATCGGGCGGGTTTACAGTAAGCGGTCAATGCGTCCGCGTGAGGTCATTAGTCCGCATTGTCGGATATAAAGACAATTTTCGTCTCCAAATCCGTTGTGGCTCCTTTGCTAGAGAAAAGTTAAATCACTTTGATTGACATGATTGGATAGTTTCAAGTGGCTCTTCAAATCAAACGGCTTTTATAAATAGATGTCAGGATTGATTCCATGAGTATGGATATCTCCATCCCAAGTACCGTAGTACTTCTCACTCCTTTGCGATGGTGATGCTGCGCCAATCGGCTTTTACGGGTTTAGAGATTCAAGATTCATGCAATCCCGTTATACATTGATAACTACGAGTAATAAATTGAAGAACAGATCAAAGGCATCTCTTTGGGAGAAATGAGATGAAGTTCCTCTCGAAGCAATGGCACATTCCCCAAGTTCTTTAACTGTTAATCAATACGAGCGATATATATTCTCCGTCTAATTCATATAATTTCCCTCATCTTTCACATCTCATCCATTATGGTGTTAATATCCCGACTGTTACACTCTCAATTTATTGTCAAGGTGCCTAAGCCTACCATCAGCTTCGAAGGTAAGACCATCATAATCACCGGAGGAAATACAGGTTTAGGTTTCGAGGCAGCGAAATACTATCTCAAGCTCAAAGCCATCCAAAGTTATTCTTGCCTGTCGGTCCCTCGAGAAAGCAGATAAAGCCAAGCTCGAGCTTGAACAAACTCTCGCTGTCGATGTCAATGTTATCGAAACATGGCAGGTCGATTTATCTTCTTATGCATCTGTCATAATATTCTAGGAAAAGGCAAATGCTCTCCAACGTTTAGATGTTATGCTACTAAACGCCGGGATTATGACCAAAGAATATCGTGTGGCAGAGGATAATGAGTCTACTATCACAGTCAACGTTATTTCGACATTTTTGATGGCATTCTCATTGATGTCGAAGCTGAAAGAAACGGCAAATACTTTCGGTACGATACCACATATGACGACAGTATCTTTCGATTTGAATTTCCTTAGTGATTTTCCAGAACGGAAAAGTGATGATATTTTCGCGACTTTGAATGACAAGGAGACGGCTCGTATGGGTGATAAGCATGTCTATCATAGCATTCGGGGATCCATTTAGTTAACAATATCTAGATACAACGTGTCAAAACTCATGGAGATCCTTGTGGTCCGTCATTTTGTCTCCTTGCACGGGTCGAACTACCCCATCGTCTTCAACACCGTGCAACCCGGCTGGTGCCAATCGAATCTCACCACGGAGATTACAACTTCTTTCGAAAAGAAAGTAGAGAATTTCATGGGGAGAACAACTGAGGAAGGTGCGAGAAGTTTGGTGTTTGCTACGTCGTTAGGGAAAGAATCCCATGGAAAACATGTTGGAGATGGGGGACTTCTCTCGTGAGTTTATTCCTATATGCCAGAAGTCATTAGACAAAACCATAATCGCTTACTAAATTTCTAGTGAATCCTTTTTCGTAACGAGCAAAGATGGTTCAGCGACTGGGGAGAAGTTGTGGAATCAGTTGTCGAGCAAATTGCAGAAGATTCGACCGGGCGTTATGCTGGGATTGTAGAGTGTTTTTGATTTCATATCAAGATCATTTCTTTGCGATATTCATGGGATACTTGATCTGATACTTATTTGAGTACTTGTGCCAACATGATGCATTAGCATTTCATCACTTGATCTTTGCTTGTTCCTCCTTCATCCTGAAACCCCCCGCTCCTAACTCTGACCCACATGCTATGCCACAAATAATTGGTGGCTGAGGATCTACACGTGAATTAATTCCCAATCACAACATTTTTGTTGGTTCATAATCAAATCAAAATTCTCATCAACATCAACATCAACATCATCGCCAAGATCCTTAGCTCAACAATCATCTTGTGCTAAACATCATCGCATGATCAAGACATGAGTCAACACTTTCGAAATTCTGAAGTCTCCGCGAAGGTTTTGATGCAAGGCCACGAAATTCCAAAGTTGGAAGATCCTCGGGGTCGCGGTCACGGTTGGTCGCGGTCGTCATTGGTCGCTAATCTTGGTCGTGGCTCGTGATGGAATGATGACGAGGAAAGAAATGCAGACGAGACAAGTTGAGAGGCCACGGGTACCTAGTCGAAAAGATTTTGATTCATGAGAGTCGAGTGATTCAGTAGTTCTGATTTTGAAGTTTGCGTTTAGACAATGTACATTGTTTTGCCAAGAGTTTTGTGTCGGATGTTTGAAAGGGGTTACAGACTTCTTTGAGAACTTCGTGACGACTCACCCTATGGTTATAAGCGAGAGTGATGAGCAGTGAACACAAAACTTGTTATTCGGGATATAATGAAATGTTCGTGAAGATTGTTTTCGAAGTCTTCAAGCAATTGTTGCGACTATTATTCCGCGTTTCGTAATGGAGAGACTGGGAATAGATGAGTTGAGCAATGGAAACAATCGGAACAGACGGTTCCTTTAAGTGATGGAAGATCTTGAAGGATGAATCGTGAAGCTTCTATGCAATGATATCGCGTTTGACATATCCGTTGAAGGAGATTGGGGTCAAGCAGGTAAATTATATATACTCTAGTTCCCCACGATCGCAAATATTTCAAACATCTCTAGCATATCACTTCTAATCTCACCACTCAAGTATTTATTCCTCTTATTTTTGACGTCTCTAGTAGACTTATCTTTCTTTACACAATTCAGTCTTCTGCAACTTTTGCTCACCATTTTCCTCGCTGTCATGCCACGAGTCAATCTAAATGAGAGAGAGCTTGGCGCAGGCTGCGTCGTAAATCTACACACAGATGGAAGAAGAGACGTGTGTCATGGTTCTTGTTTGAAGAATCCTTGTCCAATGTTTTGCAAGCAGTGCGAGAATGGGTGTCTTGACACTCCAAAATACTGCTAATTGTTGAAAGGGACCTATGGGCATCCAGTTTTGGTTTTAGGTGTACGAGAACGGTCTGGTGTCATCTTTGTCACAATTGTCATTGTAAGGAAGAGAACTTACCATATATATAATCAGAATTTGATGGATTAACCCAAATATACAGATTTCATCCATGGGATACAAAAATACCGGTGAATTCTTCAAGGAACGCCATCGTCATTTTGGGGACTCCGTGCCACCCACCCCTTGCTACTTCGGCGCCAAAAATAGTTAGACAAAGCAAGAGAAAGATTACGGATTGAATTACGAGGTGGAACCCAGCGGGATAAACTTCTCAAAGCATTTTTATCTTGTACTTCCGCACAGATATACTCTCAGCATCGACTATTTTGCTACGTTCCGCCACGCTAGAAATGCCTCCGATCATGCCACTGAACATGCTTATGACTTGCGATTCACAGAGGAATCTTAGAACAAGGTTATGAAGAAATTGGGACTTGCAAAAGATGTGTTCATTCCGACGGCCGATCTGAGACTTCAAAGAGGTACTAGAACGACGCAACACGAATCCGTACCGAGTCTTGAATCAAACGCCTTACCCTCGTTTGATGTGGATAGACGTGAGTGATCTCAATTCGTATTAGCCAGGAAACGTCAGTCTTCTAGATCGACAGCCTCAGACTCCATTTCTGATTCCAATTCGCTATCGAACACAATACCAACATCTGTTCCCGAAACGGCTGGATCTTCTTCAAACACAAGAGCCACACCCTCTTCTTATATGGTCAATTCTGATGAAGATGAAGCAAGTGAACCCTCTGGCTCAAGTATCGATACTATTGCGAACGCCGCGTCAACTCTCTCTTCGCTTACGATCGACCCTTCGCTCAAACTAGAGATCAGTATCAGTGTAGAGGCCAATATTGATCCAAGTCCAACTTCTGCATTGTTTCGCTCTACAGCCAGCTTCTCTTGAGTCCTGCAGTCAGATATTTCATACCTTGAGCGACGACTATATCAATTTGACTGATGGTCAAAACTCCGAAGTTCCAATTCCTTTTCCGAACAAAAATTGATGCATTGCTTTAGGGTCCATTTGCGTCACTGTTGTAGATTTAGTATCAATTTATCTGGGCAGGTTTAAGTAGCGGAGGATAATCTTGGCTTGGAAGTGTGATGATTTCGTCGCTGGTGGTTTATTTACATAGGTGCTAAAGAATTTCAATATCATCATTGCAGATATTCCTTGAATTGCGGGATGATCTCTGTGATATATACCTCTCTTCCATTCGAGTCGTTTGGCCTAGTGGCAAGGCTTATTTATGTGTCTGCTGTGGCGACCACAAAAACTTTCTCAATTACAGTATCAATGTTTCAAATCTTCTAAGACGGTCCCAAGGTTGGCCTATCGATATATAGCGTCGCCTCAACTCGAGCAATCTGCAGGCATCATTCAACATGATGAGGCAATTTGGATGAAAAGCTCTTTTCTTTTGCCTTCGTGCCGACTAAATGGTCATTCAGGTCTACAGGCCTTGCGCCCAGCCTTGTTTCTACAGTCAGATACTTGTGGTTATATCTCAGCCTCGCCGGTGACTCGACCTTAGACGACCATAAACGCCAACTCCTCACTGGCCACCAAGCAGCATACCGGTACGTACAGCCCATCACCGGGCTTCGAGATATGGACTTTGTATACATTTTTCAAACATCGTGATGTTGGTTGGTCTTGTCCATGAGATCTGCCTGTGAATGATTTCATCACGCGTGCAAATATGAGGCTGGGGTGAAGGATTTGTTTTGTCTTGGTTGGATATCCCATGCTCAGCAATAGGCATTGATGAAATCAAAAGTGTTCATCTTCTTTACGTGCTGCTATAATTGACGTGCACCTAATATTAATACGTTGTCATCATATCGACGTACTAAATTATACCATACCATCCTCGCGTATCTACCTATCGAAAAGGTATTTATTTGCACAACAGTGAGTCGCAATATTTTCTCATCTTCGTTATTCCTTTACTTTTCACAATGGCCGTCGCAAATTTCTGCGCCTTAAAGTCTACCAAGACGTTCCTCCCTCCACCAAATGATGATCATTGTCCTCGACCACGAGTTAGGTCTGGCGATATATGCGTTGGTTGTATTGTTTGGTTACCTTCAGATGGGCGTGACAAGAATATTAAATGCTGCAAAAGAAATTGTTGTGGAAAAGGACTTGGAGAAGATGGATACGATAGTCCGGTTGTAGTTCTCAAAATTCGGCAGAGAAAAGGCTCAAGTATACGCGGAGACCTCATTTGCTACGTCGCTACCGTATGTTTCTGTTCCTATCTTCATCAATCAATCTCATACTAATCGGCCACAGATTACCACTTTCAGCGATATGAATCTAGAGAACTATCTATCGAGTTGTCCGCACAACTCGGAATTTCAACAATCATTACCCATCAGTCCAATTGATCAAGATAGTTGCGTCGAAAGCACACCCTCTTGGCTCCTTCGTCTCCAAAAAGGCGCCCTCAATAAACAATCCTACATCAGTCTCGCTCACATCTTTAAAGTCCCCGCCAGCAGCCTATCCATCTTCGGTTTCCGCAGCCAAAGAGCCTATAAACTTCGCCTATCAGCCACAAGTTACAATATCTTAATGGCGGAAATAGGTCTACGAAATGAACCGTATGAAGAAACAGCATATCTCTACAAAACCGCACGAGCTCGTCTCGAAGCACTAGCTTCCCCAAACCGCCAAATCTCAGCCTCAACTCCCAAAATACCACAAGTGACCTTCATATCCCTAGACGAAATAGATGTCGAAAAGAAGAAATACCCCACCACACCCTTTCCGATCTGCGCACATGACGTCCCTCACTCTAAACCTGCTCCCGCATCACCACTTCTTCCATTAGGAGAACGCAGGAATGTCAAATTTACCCTGAATGACATACCGAAATCGAAGAGTTTCCTTAATGTGCCCCGCATGGCTAGTTATGGAACAATTAATAACCAGCACCTGCTAACTCCGTATCCGAATGCGCCGCCAACTCCATTGACAGCTCGTTATCATTCTTTTAGGCCGTTTGTGGATCATGGATGGAGACAGGTGGCGTTGAAGTTTTTGGTTGGGTGTTTGAGTTTGGGGGCGATGGTTGGGGCGTTCAAAATGGTGTGGTCGGAGAAAATATTTCCGAAGGCTTGGTGATTGTGTTGTTACATTGTATGGGTATTGTGTGTAGATGGCGTGTGTATGGACGGCGCATGTCGATGATATGAAGCGGCATTGGAGTTTCGATGATTGCTGTGGTTGTGGTTGGCTCAGAGAACTCTGGATGCAGCAACATCACCACAATTACAACAACAACAACAACAACCGACCCAATGCGAACTCCTTTCATCGCCCTTGCCATGAGTTTCGAAATTATCGATAGGCGATGTTCTCGAGAACCAGCAAGATACGTATCCAGAACTAAAAAAGCAAAAGACATTTAGCAAGAAGGCAGTTCACTGGCAAGCTCAGCTACTCTGCCCCAGGCGTGCAATTCCTCCCCGGACGAGGATTGGAGAGCCCGGTCGCATTTTAACATTGGAGGCACTACTGCAGTGTGCCATTCTACCGTTTAGCCATGAGGCCAAAGTGATCTTTCCCTAGATCACAGTTTGTCAGTGACGGGATGGCGTTCTTGGGGTTTATATGGTTGAAAGTGATGTCGGGTGAAAGTGATGTCGGCTTAAGGTGAGAATATAGGTATGCAATGCGGGCAGCTTGAAGTTTGATATGGGTAAGAAGGGAAATGGGTATAGGATCTTTCATCGGCGGCTGTGTGTATGCTTATATAATATTATGAAAGTACCACTTATGGAGTCTGAGGGCTGTGCTTGATGATAAAGTGAGAAGCGTTGATGCTAAATCAACGCCGTCTTTCACTTCATGACGTTACGCGTAGATCATGTCAGAAATATTATGAGGACCAACCAACCGATGCTAATTCCCCAGCCTCGTCAATTGCGTTTTTCCACTAGTCTCCTTTTGCATTATCCAAACCGGAAAATAAGCTTTTTTGATTACCGGTTACTGCTGGAAGCTAAAATCAACATTTGAATTTCTGAGTTAATCAATAGCTAAACCAAAAGTGACTAAACTGCGTAAACTAACTTATAATCTATAGATTTAGTTCAAGTTCAATTGTTATATTTAATATCGAGCGCTTCTATAACAAAGATTGTTGTGTGAGCCTACCCTCTAAACCGCTAGAAAACCGCGACTCAGGTTAGCAGGGATTAAGGCCAATCAAATTTGGTCTTTCGTGCTCGCTAAGCACAAATTTGCACAGGCTAGTACTATAGAGAGTCGGTTTAGGGGGTAATCGTAGGCCTACTAGCCCCCCCACTCGTCCCCCTCCCACCTACCTACCCACATATACATCCAACCCACGAGAGTTAGTAGGGTGGTTCAATCAATTCTGTGGTTTAATTAGTCCTCATAACTTTATATATGCATAGCATCAAATTCGAAAGTAGGACTTGATATTAGGGTAATTATCGAAGATGCTAGAACTTCGATATCTACTCATCCAATGGGAGATAATTATTCCAACT